ATTTTTTAAATGATGAAAATCTTATTTCTGGAAGCACCTATTATACTATGAATTTGTGGAATTTGCATAAAAATAAAAAATGATTTGTCATTTATTCAAACTATTGGTGAAGCATATTGATATATTTTTAGAATGATCAATCAATAAAAATAAAAATAATTAATATTTTGTGGAGTTGATAAAAAAATATTAGTTATGAAATTGACATCAAATGTCAAATTATAAATAAATTAGATTATTAGAAGTAGAAGAACATCTTTTATTAAAAACTAATTGTTTTTATTCCTTTAAGAATCTTCAAATAATCTTCAAATTTACAAAGCTTTAAGAAAAAATTTATAAAAAGTATTTGGAATTTCCAGTTTCAGGAGGAAGACAAAGTTGTGATTTTTATTTTCCCGCTTAATTTAACAAGCTAATAAATCTATAAGTTCTAAAAAATGGAAGATGTCTAAATTTAATTTAAAATAACTATTAATCTTAAAAATAAAAAATTTATTAATTTAATGCAATTATTAATAAGTTATTAAATTTTGAAAACTTGAAGTCTCAAGAACTTATGGAACTATAATTAAGAATGGGAACTTGTTGGTGACATTGAATTAGACATCAAACTAATTACAGTTTAGAATATTGAAAGAGAATATTGATATAAATCATCACATTTAAATAATAATTTAAATTTGGTCCAATTTTTATAAATAGTAATACTTTTTTACTTTATATATTCTTAAGAGAAATAAGAAGAGTATTATAGTACATTTTTTCCTATATTTTATCATTAAATTGTTAGCAGATTTTGAAAATGTCACAATTAGCAAAATAAGTTCATCATTTAAAAAAAGGATATAGTGTTTTCTAAAAAATGAATATGGTATGATTGTGTAGTTTATTGATATCTAATACTTTGATTAGAAGTAAACTTTATACATTCAATATAAATCAAATTAACTATATAAAATATAAAATAGTTAATAGTAAATTATGTCTGGAAGAGTTTCTTTGATTATTTTTTAATTATTAATAGTTATCTAGTTTAATCCTTTGATGGGGAAATTTTTCAACATTTATTATTAAAACCATTAATTTATGATCTTAAAATAGAAATTGTTTTTTAATTATTACTAAATTTATTGCAAATTATTAATTTTTAACAAAATAATTATTTATCTTTTATAAATAAAAAAAGTGAAAGGGTCTTTTCAATAGCTCATTAATTTAACATTTTTATCTAAGATAATAGCATTAAAGTATAATTATATGATTATTGTATAAATGCTACTTGATAGAGATTTAATTAATTTAGATTAAGAAGATTTTTATGTCAGTAATTATAAGTTAATTATAGATGTCATAATTGTATTTTCTTTAATTAAAAATATTTTGCCTTTATTATTTAAAGATTGCCTTAAAAATTATAATATCTTATATAAATTACATATAGATTTATTATAAAAGTTCTCTTTTCTTGGTATAACCAAAAACTTCTGGAAATTTTGTGCATTGTTAAAATGAATTTTCCACTCATTTTAATGATTGCCATTTTTAATTTTGTCTTTATACAATAAAAATACAATCTAATTTTAATTTTTTATTCGATGCTCTGGTGGACTAAATATCAAAAAGCTAATAGCAATTATAGAATAATGATCAGTTTAACTGACAGATGTAATGATCATATTCTATCCAATTTGATGAATGTAATCTTTATTAATTTTAATGTAATGTTTATTGTCTTCAAATGCTTATTTTGTTATATTGATTGAGAAAAGATTTGTTACAAAGTGGTTGGTTCAAATTTTATTATTTCCTAAATGATTTAAATATTAAAATTAGTTATGATATTTTCTGTATTTTCAACCAAATGTACCTGGTTAAAACTAATGCTAGATATACCACTCTACTAAATATTTAGAATGCGATAAAAATACCAATAAGACAAGATTTAAAAATCTATTACTGTCAATTAAATTGCATAGAATTAAATAAAGCTTTGTATAAAATTTGCATTCAAAAATATAATTTTTTATAATCGATAAAAAATGCATAAAATTTGCTATGATAGAATTAAGTTAAAATTAACAAATTTTCCAAGGATTATAAGTATTTTTAATTTTAGATATTGTATTTTTCTTAAATAAGTTTTTTAATCATTTTTACTCTATCTTCTTTAAAGGGATACGTACTAAGTAATTAAATTAAGAATTAATTAATTGTGAACCCATTATGGAGATGTAATAATTGTATCAGAAGTTGTAGAACGTGATGAATTTATAAATTAGATGTACTATCAATTCAGATGTAATTGTTAAGTTATTTTTTGATATGTCAGGAAGTAATTATTAAGTATCAATAAGGATGACCCCTTGATTAAATTCTCCATCTGAAGATTCCTTAATATTCAAAATAACAATAAATGTGTATTTTAAAATATAACAAATTCAAGAAATTTTTAAGAAAGCTTTTATTATTATTTAAGCCAATATAATTAATAAAAACTAAAGTATTTGTAAAAGGATAAAATTTATTAATATTTTTATGTTAGAAAAATCACAAGTAATTATCATATCTATTAGTATTAAATTATACTAGGTTATCATATCACAGAAATCCTTAAAGTTGGAATATCATGATTTTATACTAGCTTTTTATTAATTATTAAGGGAGAATTAATGGATTTTATAGGAATTTTAATCGATTAAATCATGTTCTAAATTAAATTAATTGCTTTTAATTACCATTTGAATGTTCAAAATACATAAATAGTATAGTGAGTAATATTGGTAGTGGTGAAGATTTCAAAATTTAATCTTGTGAATCAATTGCAATAATTTAGTGATTCACTAGCAATACACTTTGTATAGTTGAAATGTGCTCAATGATCAAAATTATGGAAATACATGATTTAAAGAATAAAATTAAAATTCCTTGATAGACAAAGCAAAATGTATTTAACTACAATTTTTAGAAGGATTACATATGAATATAGTAAGTGCTTTAAATTTTATACAAAACCTGAGAATAATGATTCATTTGATGGAAGAATCATCATACAAATAATTAAATATTTAGTTTTTGTTTTTGGATATTTTTTAGTTCTTATTGAAAAAGAGAAAATTATTAATTCTTTTTCAATTTCTTCTATAACTATATGGACACCAAAAAAACTAGAGGGACATCTTGTTAAACCAAAATAAATGGAATTCTTAGTTTATTTGTAAGGTCAAATCTTATGTGAATTTTTTAAATGATGAAAATCTTATTTCTGGAAGCACCTATTATACTATGAATTTGTGGAATTTGCATAAAAATAAAAAATGATTTGTCATTTATTCAAACTATTGGTGAAGCATATTGATATATTTTTAGAATGATCAATCAATAAAAATAAAAATAATTAATATTTTGTGGAGTTGATAAAAAAATATTAGTTATGAAATTGACATCAAATGTCAAATTATAAATAAATTAGATTATTAGAAGTAGAAGAACATCTTTTATTAAAAACTAATTGTTTTTATTCCTTTAAGAATCTTCAAATAATCTTCAAATTTACAAAGCTTTAAGAAAAAATTTATAAAAAGTATTTGGAATTTCCAGTTTCAGGAGGAAGACAAAGTTGTGATTTTTATTTTCCCGCTTAATTTAACAAGCTAATAAATCTATAAGTTCTAAAAAATGGAAGATGTCTAAATTTAATTTAAAATAACTATTAATCTTAAAAATAAAAAATTTATTAATTTAATGCAATTATTAATAAGTTATTAAATTTTGAAAACTTGAAGTCTCAAGAACTTATGGAACTATAATTAAGAATGGGAACTTGTTGGTGACATTGAATTAGACATCAAACTAATTACAGTTTAGAATATTGAAAGAGAATATTGATATAAATCATCACATTT